CTGGATGTTTCCTTCCCGGTGGGACAGCTTGGGCAGTCCTCGGCTCCCATCGCCCCGCCAAAACAACCCGGCACCGATGGCACTCGGGGTGCGGGGCAGCACCCCCGCTTCTCTCCCGGTCCCCAGCCCCGTTGCAAGGAGCGTGAAACCACAGCACGGTGCCGGCAGCGCACGTTTCCCAGCCGGTGGCAGACAACGCGAGGCTGAGGCGTTGCCCGTCAGGAGCCCCACATCATGGGCTTGCTTTTCTGTTCTCAGGGCTCCCAGTTACCAACACGCTGCGGTCGATGGGCGTTCGCAGGCCCGCGAGGGCACAGCCCCGCCAGCACCAGCCAAGCCCTGACCCTGACCCGAGGAATCACAGCTCACATCAAGGGCAGCTTCTCGGGACTGAAGCAGCCGCTCAAACACGCTCAGGAAGCTGAGCTAAAGACCCCCAAGTTGGGCAAAGCCCCAACACGGAAGCTACTGATTGCATTTTAAAAACTGCTCAAACTACACTGTGAACGAATATTTGCCCTGAAAACTCCTGATTTAGTTCCCCTTAAGCATCTTCGTTCCCTCTGCCTCTAATGATACACAGGAATTACGTTTAGTTCGGCAAACAATAATAAAATCCTGCAGGAGGGCACGTACCAGGACCTCAGCCAGACTGGGGTTTTTGTCTTCCTCCCAGGACACCCATGAAAGCTATAAATGTTCCCAGTCCCTGGAGAACGGGCGTTTTCTTGTCGTCATCTGTGACTGGGATATTGTAGTATCCTATAAATGGCAGGTAAAACCAGAGGGAGTAATTGCTGCTGGTTATTTTCAAACGTACTGGAGCTTGGAAATGAAAAGCATCATCCAATAAAACCTAGGTGTGTGAATAATTAAAGCGGTACCCTGGGACAAATAAACTTAAGAAGTGAAAAGCACAGGACAAAAAGGAAAAGGAGTTATGAGTGGCCAAGAGAAAGTTAAGGACAACACTGTTCTAGGTTGGTTTTCCAAATATACAACTGTTTTTGCAGGAACTGCTATCCTGCGAGATCGCACACCAGAAAATAAAGTCTCTGCTAGTACGTGATTGGAACTAATGAAGAGTGTATTTCTAGCCTTCAAAGCAGAAATAATGCATCTTTAAACCCCAAATGCTACAGTCTGTGGTAGCCAAATTAAAAATTCTGCTATTTTTACTAAAGCAAGGAAAATTAACTAGGACTTGGGATAATTTAATTTTGAAATAAATTTATTGTATGATCTTTGGTGCGTCACAGACTCCATGGATAAAAATTTTAAGCCCCTAGGAGCTTTGTCACCACCTCAGCACCTTACTGTAGGAAAACCCCCATCACTAGCGATCAGTGTCTATTGGATAACTGCCAATTTACCTGCTTGTACCCACAAGACAAATATAGCAGGTTACTCCCTTTTCATTACTGCCTGAAGTGCATTGAACTACGCCCAGGCATTTGCTGTAAAACCAGGTAACACAGTAACTGGTTTGCTCGCCTGCCAAAGCCCGGGGATCCAGTGCTCTCTGGTTGAGGGGATTTTAAGTATCAAAGGACTAGGAAACTAAAAAACATTTCACTTCAGGTATCTCAACTTTCGTGTCTGCGAAAGAAACGCAATACCGTTCTTTCTTTTGTAATAAATCAAAGACGTACAATGCAGAACACTTTTGAAGTATGATTTCTGTTCTTATTCTGTAACCATTCATTCTGTAATTTGAAAGCTTAGAGAAAAACTTTCAGAACATTAATCTTCACTCTCAATGCTTGTGAGGCTGTAAGACCCTTTGGTGACAAGCAGCAGAGGAAATCTATGCGGGAAACAAATGACTGACAGACACTAAATGGAACGGGTGAATGTATGTACACAGTGCTTGTGTGTTCCTCTTGTTTTACCATCATAAACGCCCCAGTCCTTAGAGAAAGTTTATGGGCATTCGCTAACACTGTAAAATTATGACAAAGCCAGTTCCTGCTTGCCCTTTGAGCTGCTGTACCTCCGGAGGTGTTTTCTGCTGCATCCACCCCACTTGGCTAAAAAAGTAGCAGAAGTGTCATTCCAGCCCTTCTAGCTATTTAACTTTAATGTTTTCTGCTCACCCACCGACGGCCAATAATGTATTTTTAATAATACTAGGATAGGTGAAAAGATTTTGATGATTTAAAATGCAGGTAGAGTTTTTAAGGCAGAGAAAGAATATTTTACCAAATCTTTGTTTCCAGAGGTCACGAGGACTTGAAGAGCTACTAGAAAAACTAGACCACCTACCTAAAATATGCAATTAATGTTTAAGTTAATTAATTTTACCTAAGTCTTGGGACAGATAAGTACATACACTTGGACAACAGGGGTGGCAATGTGGAAAAGCAGTTCTTTAAGCTGCTGTAACTCAGCCATGCATCACCGTGTGCCTGCGCCCATAACTCAGCATCCTTAATTGTGGTAGCATGAAGAGTAATGTGGAGAAATAGGGATTTAAATATATATTGTAATATGATGAGGTTTTTTTTTTTTCTGGCATACCTGAACATCTTCATGAAACCCAGGAGCAAATACATAGAACAAGATGACAGCTTTTAGATACTTCTGTGGATGTGTTAAAATCTTAACGTCTTTCCCCCAGATATGCAAAAATGGATCATATAACAGAAGGCAAAAAGTAACCAATGATTACTTTCAGTTGATAAGATAGAAAACCTGTAAAGCTAGTGAGTCTAGTTCCCAGGACGTTGCTGGTCTGTTAAATAACCTTAAAGAACTTAAAATTGTTTAAGGCGGGGCATATTTGTGTGCTTTTTTTATGCTTTGTTAATCCAGAGATACGCAAGGAAAATATATTCAATTGCACTTTACCAGACAGAAGATGTTGACCAGCAAAGTTTCCTCAGTACTAGCAGCAATAGCTCAACATATTATGGGCCCAAATCTAATAATCTTTAATACATAGTGACCCAAACTTTTCAGAAGAGGTAGGCAATGGAAGGGGGAAGGACAAAATGAGGGAGAGGAAAATCCTTCTATTAAAGCCCGATACTTTGAGATAGCTTTGCACAATCCTGCAGGATCTGTGTTGCCTGTTTTCTTGAAATGCTGCTGTTGGCATAGTCATCAGGCCTGCAGGCCCCTATTAGCACAGACCCCGTGCAATCCCATATGGTCTACAGCTGAGTCTGGGTGTAAAGAATTGCGTAAACCCACTCAGTCAAGCAGAGATTTACCAGAGGGAGCAGGATCGGCAAGCTCCCTGCTATCAGCAATCCCAGAGCACCCACAGCTTGATGAGACGGCATCCCATGGTATGTTCTGAAGCTCTTCGCTGAACCATTCTGCCAGCACGAGGTTTCTCAACAGGGACCCAGGCTGGTGCCACTGTGATGGGCTCAGGTCGCCTGACGGTGATGCTGGAGTTCTAAAAGAGAAAAAAACCCACAGTAAATCCACTTCTGAAGCCCAGCCCATGCACACAGTTAGAGACCCAGGTTTCTTTCAGACCTATCTTCTAGAGAGGGGAAAGAGAAAAAAAGGTGTCACCTTACCTGTGGGCCAGGATGGCAAAAGAGGTGGGCAGCCACAGTGGGTCAGTGCTGCAGGACAGTGTGGGGCAAAAGGTGGTATAATTAGTCAATGAAAGGGAATATATGAGCAAACTAGAAAACTGTGTAAAAATACGTCAGCAGTTAAAAACCAGTATAAAACACCAACTTAGAGAATGTCCAAGATGTACAACAATAAAAAAACTTCACACAGTAAGAATATGGAAAGCTGGAGTTAATGTTAAGCTTACAACTAAAAAAATACACAACCAAAGGAAAAGTAAATAGCATTCTCATGCATAGTATTTCAGAACAGCGCTGGGTGCATAAAAATAAGTATGTCGAATAACACAATACCTTGTTTTTTTCATAAGAAGTAGTTTTACGTAGCTAACAACTATAAAAATCCAATATTCTAGTATTCGTGTATACACTGGCAGCATAGATTCTTGTAGTCTTAACAATAACCTGTATTTCTTAGGAAATGCCATTGAATTTCCTAGAAAAACAAATCATGAGTCAAGGTATAGGCAGATGTTATTTGTGAGCTGCTAGAAGGCAAAAAAAACCACAACCCAAATAATTTATTTTTAAAAAGAGTTTGTTTTGGTGCAGAAAGGGAAGAACAGTTAATGTCTGCAGTTTAAGTGCCCATCAGAATTACATGTCCTGAAAAATTACATCGAGCACTTGAATTGTAAACCTCACGTATTTGTCTATACTGCACTGTCGTTACTAAAAGAGCAGTATTCTTCCAATGAATGTTTCATACACAGACTTAAAAGGTGTTATGTCTAGATGAGCCACCTTTAGCGGGGAAAGATGAGCGAGAGGAATGTGAATGAACAGACAGTTTTACAATTTTGGATTCAACTAGCCTGAAGCACAGAGGGTGCTCTGAAGATGATGGCAGTTTCAGAAGCACAGGAGAAGTTCAAGCACAAGAAAAAAAAACTGAAAACTTGCCCGGTACCTGTGAGAGCAGAGCTGTACAATAACAGGTGGGCTTTACCGAACGTCGGGATGGAGACAAGCTAAACCAGCTGGCTGCCCAAAGCGTGAGATAAAGCCAC